GCGTGAGAAAACGTGGTGCGCATATTAACAGCTTATCCGTGTCCTTGATGCCGCCATCCATGGCAGCACCCAGCCACTGATTGTCGCGCGCCTCATTGTCGTAGGTGTATGAGTCGAATTTCTCGATTGTGATATTACCTCTATCATCGATGACATATGGATTACAGGTGGAAGTTGGTGACAAAGTGCAACGATAAATGGCACCAGTTTCATTGACATTCCGCTGCGCGGGCAGTGTAGATTGAGCGCGTGGTGCACCAACAATTATGCTGAAAAAGCAAAAAGGAAAAACAGGCGTTAGTTCACTTCGATGTGAAATATTTTTAGGGCAATAAGCGTGAAGAAAGGCAGAAATATTAAAAGTGGTGGCTTCGGTGGACCCCCTGCTGATACATTTCTAAATATTCCCAAAGCTCGTAAAAAAAATATATTGTGAAGATTAGATCTAACTATGTAAATTTGCATCGCGGTTGAATTCAAAAACTAAACACGGAGTGGCCAAAATAAAACTAAAATATTTTCTTTCTATTATTTTTTATTTCTATTTATTAAAATAATGTGATTACACACTTACAGGTAAAAAAAAAAAACGCGTAAATCCAACAAAATACTCTCTTGCTCTGAAGAGTTATATTTTTTAAGACCACTTCGAGCCCTAGCGTTATTTACACTATCCTCTCAATAAATTCATCAAATGATCGACTCACTCATGACTTAGCACGTGGAGTATTTGTAAAGTAGTTCATTTGTGTTAATGGCATCATTTCTATTTTTATCGCTTCGAGTTTCAAAGTGAGGCGAAATATATTTATCACTGACATTTGTAAAACACAAAACCTAAAACAACAGAACGGCTAAGCTTTTAACACCAAACTCCTAATTCTGAAACGGACAATAGAGAAAAGAACGAGTCTAGAAAAATCGATGACAAATAACCAAGCCAGCAAGAAGCACAAAAAGTGTCTTGTCATTTACGCCTATCACAGTCAGGTATTTGTGCCCTGTGAAAAGACCAGTCGGCAGTCCAACAATTGGTCTGCAGTTTCGTCTGCTCAGTGAGAGTAAAAAACTAGATAGACCTTCTGAGATTGAAGGCAACATGAGTTTTGCCCACCTGCATCCCCTTGATGCCCCCCAGTCATTGCTGAGCGAAGTATTCACCCACTTTCTGATGGTTGCTTCGATGGGGGAAAGTGGGTATGATAAAACTGGTTGCGGACCGAGGAATGCCTCGTCTGAGCCAATTCTTGCCAAATGGTCAGATATCTCATAACCAGGTACTCCAGAGTGACCTGGCACCTAGAGTAAAACAACCTTGTTATGTTTACCACCATAATTTTGTGGAGACTAGCATTTCCGAACTAGTTTGGAAGTAGTAAGAGGGCTGGCCAATGCCTTAAGTGTAGCTTGGATTTATATGTACACCACTCAAAAAAATGTAAGTTAAATAAAGAGGCTATGAAGCAACCATTTTGGTTCTTTACTAGCGAAACCAGATAAATTTTCGTAAACCCCCACTTACAACTCATGGACCCCCATATTTCTTTTCACGCCAACGCAGACCTCCGTCGAGATGGTGGCAGACCTCCGTCGAGGACCGCTGGGGGTCCACCTGGACCACTTTGGGAATCACTGATTTAGATGGATTTCTCAATATTGATTTCTTTGGGCGTCGCCTATTTACTTATCCTTCAAGCCTCAATATCTATCTATACACCTACATACATACATATACATATGTATGTATATAGACATGTATACATATTTATATAGATAAATTTCGCATTGCAATAATCACTCTCAATTATTTTTATACAAATGCATAATGGCAATTTTCATGAAAACGTGGTAAATCTAATCTTATCGCTACACTTATACATATGTACATATCTAAAATTGGTAGCGTTGCCGTAGGTGCAGATAGCGCTTTAGGCTTTTATTTTACTTTCATTCTTTTTTTCTTTTATTTTTGTGTCAAGTATCGACAATGAATAAATTCCATTGTGCCAACTAAAGTAGCTTAAGTATGAATATATATTTAGTATGTATTATCTTTTTATTTGAGGTTAAAAAAAA